GTAATGATAATCAGTCTGTTACTGTGTTGATGTCATTTGTATCTTAATTACTAAATTTAGGGTCACATTCAATTTATTAAATTTTTTTATTTAAAATATTTTTTTTAAAGATTTTATTTATTTATTTGACAGAGAAAGCTAGAGAGCACAAGTGCGGGAATGGCAGAGGGAGAGGAAGAAATAGGCTCCCCACTGAGCAGGGAGCCCGAAGTGGGGCTCAATCCCAGGACCCTGGGATCATGACCTCAGCCAAAGGCAGACACTAAACCAGCTGAGTCACCCAGGCGGGCCCTATTTAAAAAAATTTTTGGCAGAGCACTCTACTAAAGAGATACAAAGTGTGAAAATCATGGAAACCTGCTGGGAATTTATAATCAGAGTATTACCAGATCTCTACAGTATAAATAACATTGATTGGTTCACCAATTTCTAGGCACTGTGTTGGTTGCTGACTACAACCAGATCTTATAGTCTGATACAAGGTGCTTTCTCCTCAGATATTATAGTCTGATATAAGGACTTCTATACCAACTCAGAACTGGTGCTTTGTGGTTTCATTGGGGAAGAAGCAATCCCATCCTCTTAGGGAGATTGGGAAAGCCTTCATGGCATAGATAGCATGTCCAGTGGACATCAGTCTATTTCTACGGCTAGAATAGGCAAGTTTGGTTGCGTGGGTGCTTTAGAGAAAATAGTAGAGGGGCGCCTGGGTGGCTCAGTTGGTTGGGCAACTGCCTTCAGCTTGGGTCATGATCCTGGAGTCCCGGGATCGGGTCCCACATCAGGCTCCCTGCTCGGCGGGGAGTCTGCTTCTCCTGCTGACCCTCTTCCCTCTCATGCTCTCTCTCATTCTCTCTTTCTCAAATAAATAAAATCTTAAAAAAGAAATAGTATAAACCAAAAGCACATTTGCTTGAAGAGAAGCAAATGGTTTTTAAGTTCTGTTTTATTTGTTTTCCTCCATTGGTTGTACTTTACTATATATAGTTAAACTTGCTTTAAATAATAAAATTTATCATTATAAACTATAAAATGCTTTTGCTTTTAATTGTAAATTAAAAATTAAAATTAATTTTAACTGTCCTAAATTCAGAAGTATTAAAATGTAAAAACAAAAACAAACTTAAATTTTTTTAATTGTGGAAAAATACATATAACGTAAAATTTGCCGTCTTAATCATTTTTAAGTGCACAGTACACTTACAATGTTTGTGTAATCTCCAGGATTCTTCATCTTGCAAAACAAAAGATGCCTCTTAAAATCTAAAGTAATGTAAGTGAATTAAGCTGCATGTATCAGAGACCCAAATTAAAAGTGGCTTAAATATGATAGAAGTTTCTTTTTCTGTCATATGAAGTCCAAAGGCCTTGTGTCTCTGCAGTCATCTACAGGCTTTTTCTAGTTTTCTGCTTATCTTTAAAACTGTGGCCTTCAACTTCATGATAGAAGATGGAGTTTGGTCATCCTAACCACATTTCAAGCAGCAGAAGTAAGGAAGGAGTAACAAGGGGCACACCTTCTCTCTTTAAGGACACTCCTGAAATTGCACATACCACTTTTTCTTCCATCCCATTGGCCAGAACTTAGTGACTTGGCTTTATCTAGCTGCAAGACAAAGTCATCTTTCCATACAGCCATGTGTTAGCTAACAGTTGGGAATTCTGTTACTCTAGGAGAATGGATAACTAATATTCTCTGCCGAAGTACTCATTAAATTTTCTGTTTCTTCTATAAAGCTGAATCAGATCTTTTAATTTTTGAGGTCGGAAACTATACTCCAGTTGAACCAGCAGGGGTCACTGTTGAGCGAGTGCTTTCTTTGTTGTTTCCTTTGTTAAACCTACCTGCCATTACATTTCTCAGCTATATAATTTATAGAAGAACAATTATAGTTTAATACAAAGCAACAAGACACATCACTTAGATTTTTTTTTTTAAAGATTTTATTTATTTATTTGAGAGAGAGCATGAGAGGGAAAAGGGTCAGAGGAAGAAGCAGACTCCCCGCTGAGCAGGGAGCCCGATGCGGGATTCGATCCAGGGACTCCAGGATCATGACCTGAGCCGAAGGCAGTCGCTTAACCAACTGAGCCACCCAGGCGCCCATCACTTAGATTTTTAAAAACCTGAATATTTAAGAATGTCCTATCCCTAGATAAATGCTGTTGCAGTGTTTGCTTGCTCAGGGGATGGTGTCCTCCCTTGAAACAATTAATAGAGAGCAACCTAGTTGCTCTCATGTTCTTCCCATGACCACGTCCTTGTACTTGTTTGTGGATAGATTATAAAAAATATGTAATAAATATATTCCTTTGTTAATATGAAACCAGATTACCTAAGAATGTCACATGTTTGGAACAGTCACTTCCTCTACAACAATTATACCTAAGATCTTTCACAAATTTGTTGTAGTTCATTATATCCTGGACCTAATTGGTTTTGACAACCTTTATATTTTGCATGAAAAACCAAAGTTTGGATTCAGCTGAAATAGTAAAATACCTAAAACATATATTCTGTTGCTTCTATGAAACGTTTATTTTACCAGCAATGCCGTGAACTGGAGAGGAAACCATATGGGTTTCCTAGAAAACATTTAAAAATATCGTGTCTACCTCTAGGATTATTTTCTAACCTCCTGCGTTATGTCACTTCAAATAAGGAAATATTCTGATTATTTTATACAACTGTAATTCATTCTATCTTTCTTTTTTTTTTTTTTTAAATTTTATTTATTTATTTGACAGAGAGACACAGCGAGAGAGGAAACACAGCAGGGGGAGTGGGAGAGGGAGAAGCAGGCTCCCCACTGAGCAAGGAGCCTGATGCGGGGCTCAATCCCAGGACCCTGGGATCATGACCTGAGCCGAAGGCAGACTCTTAACGACTGAGCCACCCAGGCGCCCCTTGTTTTTTTCTTTAAGTAGGCTCCACACCCAGCATGGAGCCCAGCGTAGGGCTCGATCTCATGACACTGAGATCAAGACCAGAGCTGAAATCCCAAGTTGGATGTTTAAGCAACTGAGCCACCCAGGCACCCCCAGAACTGTAATTTCTTAAATCCTGAGATTTGCAGTCTGCTTCATCTGGTCCATTGGTTCTTACACTTTAGAAAGCATGGGTGTCACCTGAAGGGCTTCTTATACTACAGATTGCCCTTCTTTCTCTCCACCTCCTCCTCACCCCATTTTTGGTATTATAGGTCTGGGGTACAGCCCAAGAATTTGCAGTTCTGATGAAGGCCCCACTTGATGCTAATGCTACTGGTCAGGTGACCACGGGTTTTGAACCACTGATCTTACCCTTTCTTGGAATCTTGGAGTAGAATATATATGTGCAGAAGGGAGAGAAGAGATAGGTAAATCTGGACAGATGTCCTGTAAGCCTGGTGTTTTCCAAATCCTCCTGGGACACCGTCTATTCCTTTTTCCCTTCGTTTCATGCTCCCATAGAGACAACACCATTCAGTCTTTTTTTTTTTTTTTTTTTTAAGATTTATCCATTTGAGAGAGAACATGTGCTCACATGCACAGTGAGGGAGGGGCAAACAAGCAGACCCTGCAGGGAGCCCGTCCTGGGTTTGATCCCAGGACCTGGGGATCATGACCTGAGCTAAAGTAAAACCATTCAGTTTATATAGACTGATGCAAGGAAAGAAATTAGTTGTTAGGTGTGATTTTTGTTCCTTTTTATCTCTAGAGTTGTAGAAATCATGTGAATGACGTATGGCAGGTTTATATTTTTTAACAATTTAATTACTGTGTATATTCAAGTGAGCAAAGTGCTTTACGAGGTGAGATGTGTAGCATTTAATAAATATACTTTGAATATACAAGATAAAGAGATTAGCATTTCTAATATATAAATGATTGTCCTTTTGTGAATTTGAATTGGGCAGAGTCTAGTAGATTGGGTGTTGAGTGAGTCTATTTTGTACATAAAAAAATTTTTTTCCAGGGCGCCTGGGTGGCTCAGTTGGTTGAGCGACTGCCTTCGGCTCAGGTCATGATCCTGGAGTCCCTGGATCGAGTCCCGCATCGGGCTCCCTGCTCGGCAGGGAGTCTGCTTCTCCCTCTGACCCTCCTCCCTCTCATGCTCTCTGTCTCTCATTCTCTCTCTCGTAAATAAATACAATCTTAAAAAAAAAAAAAAAAAAAATTTTTTTTCCAAAGATCTTAAGCTTAAGACATATATTGTGTGCTATATAACACTGAAAAGTCTCCCAGATCTCTATTTTTGATACTTTAGTTTTCTTTGCTAGACGTTATTTATGTCATCAACCCTTGATTATTCAGCTTTTTATTTTTATTTTATTTTTTTAAAGATTTTATTTATTTTTTAGAGAGCGAGAGAGAAACAGCATGAGAGGGGCAAGGGTCAGAGGGAGAAGCAGGCTCCCCGCTGAGCCGGGGGCCCGATGCGGGACTCGATCCCAGGACCCTGGGATCATGACCTGAGCCGAAGGCAGACGCTTAACCATCTGAGCCACCCAGGCGCCCTATTCAGCTTTTTAAATGGGTTATAATTCCCCCATGTGTTCTTTTCTGTAAGTGTACCTGGAGAGGAGTGATCATGGTGTAGCATCTTAGAAACTGTATCATTTGAGAACTTAAACTTGTTTAGGAGGAAATATGATGGCTTCATTTTGAAAGACTGCCTTATAGAAGAAGGATATGTTTTTTTTTAATAGCTTCCACTAATGGGTAGAAATTATAGGGAAGCAGATTATTCTTTGATGTCATATAATTTCCTGAAACATGTCATTGTCAGTCAACAGCTTTTATTATAAGATTTTCTGTTGCAGTGAAACTTGATAGTCCAACTTTCCATCACCGAGTCCTTTTGCTTCTTCAAAAATCCTTCTTTCTCCAGTTTCTTTTCTTTTTTAATTTTCACCAGCCCTGTAATCTCACAGAGACCTGCGTCATCTTTTACTTGAACTATAATTTCAGTGTATTCTTCGCTTATGTCCTTACTACCAATCCAGAGTTTAATTTCTTTAGGTTTCTCTTCTCTCCAGGATTATTTCAAATTTCTAGCCTGATATACAAATTTCCTTCACGACCAAGCCCCACTATCCACATAACAGTTCAGTTTATTTTTTTTTAAGATTTTATTTATTTATTAGAGAGAGCGACAGCGAGAGAGGGAACACAAACAGGGAGAGTAGGAGAGGGAGAAGCAGGCTTCCTGCTGAGCAGGGAGCCCGATGCAGGACTCGATCCCAGGACCCCTGGATCATGACCTGAGCCGAAGGCAGACGCTTAACGACTGAGCCAGGCCAGGTGCCCCAGTTCAATTTATTATTCAGTTCCTACCATGTATCGGGCTCTGTGCTCAGTCTTGGAACCATGTTGGCAAATATGAAAGCCATGGTCCCTGCCCTCACAGAGCTTTCCATTTAGCTGGAGGGTAGGTTGTTATAGTTATTAAAAAATATGTTTTGTAATTACCCTTTGAATGTCTGAGATTGAGGGGGAAGTACGCTTTGTCTGCTACTTTCCTATCCCTCCTCTTCCATTATTTTTTCTTCTTTGAATCATGAAATGCTAAGGCCTCATGTATGACTCCATGCTTTTATACATCTTATCTCCCCCCTTTTCTCCTAGTTAATTAACGTCTGGCCTTCCTTTAAGACTCAGATGTCAAGGTATGAGCAGAATTAGTTATTTCTTCCCTTGCTCTCATATGCCTCTTGTCCTTTATCTCTAATAATTAATATTTACTTATTTGTGTTCATTGTAGAGCAAGAGCTCCTGAAACACAGAGATAACATCTCCTTTTCTTTGTATCTCATTGCCTGTGAGAGAGCCTGATTTGAGAGGGTGTTCAATGTTCATTGCATGAAGTCAAGAGGCAACTCTGTAACATGTGATAGCAGGGACTGAGCATCTTTCCCTCAGCTTCAGTGACATGTGTGTTTGCTGTTATTACTCTGCTTTTTATTGAGTATAGGTATTCGGTTTTTTATATAGATTACTACACAAGCTTACAGTCTTGATCTCCTTTATGGAAGAAATGGTGACTCTGTTGAAAAGTACCCATTGTGGGTTACTTGATTAATTTGTTAAATGATCACTTGTGTGCAGCAAGAATGCATGTAGTGGTGGTTATGAAGCATTACCAGTTTTCTGCATGTTATGTAAAACTCAGAATGTTCCCTATCCTAGGATGGTTTCTGAGCACCTCCTTGAACAAGTAAATGTGACTTAGATTTGGAGAATCACCCTATCCTAATGGCATTTTTAAATGGCCACTGTGCAGTGATGTGATTTTAAGCAAGTAAATCTTTTGCAATTCCGTTTCCTTACAAGAAAATGAAGATTAAGGATAGTATGAAGATTCAGTACATTAGTACATGAAAAACACTTAAAACAGTACCTGCCACATAATGTCATCCTTCTGATTGCTATTTTTATTAATTTTTTCTAAAGACAGGGAACAAATTAAATGTCTCAAAAGATGTTTTTCAGCCTAAAGAGTCCCTAAGTATATGACTTCAGCTTATAATATCCACTATACTTATTCAACTCTCTCTTTAGAGGATTGCCTCTAAACTTTGAGTTGAATGTAATAAAATGTTAAGTAACACTAAATGATTTTGTTTTTGCAGATGTTCTCAAATAGTGATGAAGCTGTAATCAATAAAAAACTTCCCAAAGAACTCCTATTACGGTAAGTCTGAATGCTAATTTTAGCTTGGTGGTGTGTGTGTGTGTATATCATATTTGCCTATTTAAAATTTTTTAGACTTATTGCTAATTTTCATGTATGTATAGGAACTGGATTATCTGAATTTTAAATTTATTGATTCTTTTGTCATATAGTCTTGACTCTGTACTTTCTAGATATGAATCAAAATTTCAAATGTTTAATTTAAAAACAATTTTCTCCTACCTGATTTGTACCTATATTTGATTTTATTTACTAGTTTTCCCTTGCTCTATGTTTCTATATAATGTGAAAGAGATAATATATTTTATTTTATTATAATGCTGATTTTTTTGAAGTGGTTCTGATCCATCCCTTCGCCCCACTTCCCATTACCAATATCAAATATGTCCATGAAGTGACTTGTATTTGTAACAAAATATCACATATACTGAGGCACTGTAGAGAAGAGTTACAGCCCTTTACTTTAAGGGTAAAAAGGTAGGGGCACATGACTGGCTCAGTTGGTGGAGCATGAGACTCTTGATGTCAGGGTTGTAAGTCCAAACCCCATGTTGGGTGTACTTAAAAATAAAATCTTAAAAAAAAAAAAAAAAGATAACAATGTAGAAGTTATTTGAAGTTCTTTCTTGTATTACAGTTACAATGTTATCATCATTTTTAATAGGTAAAAATTACATTTGGATCACCCACAACATAAAACTCACAGCCCCCAATTTATATACATCTGACCTAGGTATTGCCTAGGAAAAAAAAAAACTAGGGGAGTTATTTCACAGCCCATTTATTTGGCACTTTTTTAAAAGATTTTATTTATTTGAGAGAGAGTGAGCGAACGAGAGAGACAGAGAACACAAATGGGGGGAGAGGCAAAGGGACAAGCAGACTCCCACTGAGCGCAGAGCCCAATGTGGGGCTCAATCCCAGGGCCCCAAGAACGTGACTTGGGTCAAAGTCAGATGCTTAACTGAGCCACCCAGGCACCCCTATTTGGGCACTTAATCATGCTATTCTTTGTTCACTGATGTAGAATACCATGACTGAGAAAGAAGGGTACATTCTCTCTTGCAAATGTTAGAAGTTAACAAGTTGTACTGAGGTGCATCTGCCTCTTGCTCTTAGCTGCTACTGCCCCAGTCCATAACCAGCCAGTCCCTGCTCAAGGTGTGAAATAATCTCACACTAGTACTGGTGAAGAAGAGTATCCCTGGCATTTCAAAGGATTTGCACATCTGAGTCCTTCACTATATTGGAAATACCTTGCAAGCAGGGACTGTTTTCTAATAAATCTTTATGTAATATCTTATACATTGGAGATACTAAGAAAAAATAATGGAATTAAACTTGGAATGGATTTTTCATAGAACCAATGCTTTTGTACATGCTGGTTAACTATAGTTGAAATAATAGCAATATACCCTTGGTTACCTGGAGCTATTGGAAAATGTTTCCTGGATATATTGAGTATTCCTCAAATGTCAGCAAAATTTTAGCTATCTTAAGGAGAAATGTTTTTAAATGGGTCATGTTTTTTAGTGTTATTATAAACCGAGTACACTAAGACATACTTCAATTTTTTTTTTATAATGGCATTAATTTGTACTATAGTAGTTTACCTAAAGACTCAAGATTCAGGGAAATTATTTGATTCTTTGGTAATTAGCTGCCCCCTGTTATGGTTTACATTTTTATATTTTATTAGAGTTTTTCTCCATGGAAGACAGACATAAAGGCCACATACTGTATAATTCCATTTATATGAAATATCCAGGATAGACAGATCCATGGAGATTGGGTTGCCAAGGGGCTGTGGTGAAGGGTGATAGGGAGTGACTACTAATGGGTATAGGGTTTCTTTTGGGAGTGATGAAATGTTCTGAAATTAGGTAGTGATTATGGCTGCACAACATTGTGGTTATACTAAAAACCACTGAATTGTGTACTTTAAAAGGGTAAATTTCATGGAATGTGAATTCACTCTAATATATGTATAATTTGTATAAATTTTCAATTTATAATTTATAATAAAATTTTTAATAATACAGTTGTAATAAAATATGCAATTATATAATAAGTGTTTATTATATAATTTTAAAAATGCAGGGGCACCTGGGTGGCTCAGTGGGTTAAGCATCAGGTCATGATCTCAGGGTCCTGGGATTGAGCCCCGTGTTGGGCTCTGTGCTCAGCGGGGAGTCTGCTTGTCCCTCTGCCTCTCCCCCAACTCATGCTCTCTCTCTCTCAAATAAATAAAATCTTTAAAAAAATTCAGCCCATATGATAAACAAATGCAGTCTGTTGCTCTATTTTATGTTGTATATGTTCACTAATTCTTCAACCATATCCCACTCTTGGTGATTTATTGTAGCAAAGGTTTTGTAGATATTTTCTTTGATGCTAGTGTTTCTTCCTTTAAATGCAGTCAGTCCCAAAGACAGCATTAAGGGTAGACTAATAGGTGACTTCTTAAGTGGATGATTTGTAGTCTTCTGTCTGTTAAGAGTGACCCCACTTTAGGCATTTCTTCATAGCCATTAGGTTACTAGTGGTTACCTCTGATAAAATGGTATTGAAGAAGCAGGTAATTCACTCCATACTTGTTTATTTAACAAAAATGTTTTTTGCTGAAGACAAGAATAGCAAATAGAAAGTTATTACAGTAATCTTTATTGGGGGAAATGATGGCCTAAACCCCATTGGAAGGATGGGCTCTATCAAGAGGTTTTTAAGAGCTGGTATTGGCAGTATATTGCTGATTGATTTGATGTGATGCTAATGAGGGTATTGGGAAGAAGGCAAGGATGGTGCCCCAGTTTTTTGCTTTCTGCCAAGTGAATGGTGGGAACACTTCACTAAGATAAAATAGGTGGAAGAACAGGGTTAATTGAAAGAAAATAATGAAAATGAGTTCAGTTCTGGTACCTGTGGATATCCAGGTGGCAATGCCAAAAGGCAGATGTATATACAGTTCTCAAGCTTAGCAGCATGATTTAAAATTCATATGTATATAAAGACATGAAAGAGTAAGAAATTGTGTATATTTAGCTCTTTTTGGATTTACTAGTACCCATGAGAAATAAAGAAAACAGGAAGAAATACAAGGCCTCTCAGACACAGAAATGAAGAGCTTCGGGGCCAAAACATCATATATAACTATGAAATATATAAAATGTGGCAACATTTCGGTCAGGTTTCCAACCAGGCTCAGTGAGACACTTGGTGTCATCACCTGGTGATTGATTTGGTAAGAACTCTAGAAAAGAGCTATGTATGGCAGATGTTGAGGTTTGGCTGTATGTCCAGATTAATTGTACTCTTATACATTCACTCTTGGCTTAAATGTTCTATATTAAGATAGTTGAAGTCTTATGAGTTAGCAATATTTCATGCATATCTTAATCTAATATATATGTAAATCAGTATGTCATCTGTAAACTCTGGAACCCATTTTATTGATACTCATTTATTTGTCTCCAGAGTACTTGAGATGACTTGGATCAGGAGCAAGTATAATAAATACAAATAAACTATGAGGACCATGACAAATATTTTTTAAAGTAGAAAACCAAAACCAGAAAGGAAACACATGTACCCTTGTAAGAGTTTACACAGTTGCTATACGTGGGTCTCACATTTAGCTTTAAATTTTCTTGGTAACATAAATGAAATAATATTCTTTTTTTTTTTAAGATTTTATTTATATATTTGACAGAGACAGAGAGAGAGGGAACACAAGCAGGGGGAGTGGGAGAGGGAGAAGCAGGCTTCCCACTGAGCAGGGAGCCTGATGTGGGGCTTGATCCCAGGACCCTGGGATCAGGACCTGAGCCGAAGGCAGACGTTTAACAACTGAGCCACCCAGGTGCCCCAAATAATATTCTTTTTTTTTTTAAGATTTTATTTATTTATTTGACAGAGAGAGACACAGCGAGAGAGGGAACACAAGAATGGGGAGTGGGAGAGGGAGAAGCAGGCTTCCCGTGGAGCAGGGAGCCCAATGCAGGGCTCAGTCCCAGGACCTTGAGATCCATGACCCAAGCCAAAGTCAGACGCCCAAACACTGAGCCACCCAGGCACCCCTAAAATAATATTCTTAGCAGAAAAGATGAAATATATATATTATACCACAAAATCAGAGCTCTTTCTAGAAAGCACTACTTTCTAAGAGAAATTTCTCAAATGAGAGTCTACTTAACATTTTGTGGGTAAAGTTCCATAGCAAATTCAGTCACAGATTTCATATGGTCACATCTTGTAGCACCTTTGTAGTAGTTAAAAAAACAAAATAATAACATGTAGGGCGCCTGGGTGGCTCAGTTGGTTGAGCGACTGCCTTCGGCTCAGGTCATGATCCTGGAGTCCCAGGATCGAGTCCCGCATCGGGCTCCCTGCTCGGCGGGGAGCCTGCTTCTCCCTCTGACCCTCCCCCCTCTCATGTGCTCTCTGTCTCTAATAAATAAATAAAATCTTAAAAAAAAAAATTTTAAATAAATAAATAAATAAATAAATGGATGCTTCTGACAGTCCAGTTGATCCAAGGTTGCTTTTGGCTGCAAGTAATAGAAACTCTGAAATGGGCTTACACAGTAAGGGAAGTTATTTCATACAAAAGGAAACACAAAGATCAGGCTGCCTACATCCCAAGGTTCATTGATTTATGGGATCCCCAATGTCATCAGCAATTTTCTGTTTGTTCTGCTAGAAGCCACATCAGCTTGGTCCTAAAAACTCTTTTCTTTATGGGCACAGGATGGATGCCAGCAAATACTGGATCAACATGTATCTTTGTTCACTCTGAGGGGAGAGATAGGCAACCATTTATACTCCTATAAAGCCTCTTCTCCGATCTCATTAGCCCAAATTGGCTTAGGCCTGAACCAATCACTGTGACAGGTTTAGACTAACTAACTGGGCTGAAGTGGATGTTAGAGAGTCAATTACAGTGCCTACCACAGATAGAATATAACATACTTAAAGGAATCATGAATGTCCTTCAAACAGTC